CCCCCTCCCCCTCCTCTCCCTCCCTCCCCCGTGCGTGTATATACGGACCGATGCCGGCGCGCATGTATAGACCTGCTCCAACCCGTTGCATTCAGGGGATCTCTCTCACGAATCCACTAATAATTCCCGGCGGTCGGCGGCCCGGGCGCATTCTGCGAGCATTACGTGTCTGCATTCCACGTGTGGGCCCTACGATCCCCCTTCCCTCGTTCTGGGGACGGCGGCGTGGGGCCCAGGGGATCGTTAAGGTAGCACCTTAACGGCCTTTTTACGAAAAGACGCCCGACAAGATGTTCCCCGCACCCCTGGATGTTCCTCATTATTATTCATCCCGCGGCGCCCCGCGCACTGCCCCTATACACACGAAGGCGTTTAACTTATTCCTCCCGACCGACGGATACTCCTTCTCGCCCTCTCTCATTCCGTCTTGGCTTCTCTATCGGCAGAGAAGCTCGACGAAAGTCACGTTATACCGCCCCGGATTAGCACGGGAATTCTTCTAAGGCGCAAAAGAGTGGCCAAAGAGGGATTAACGAAAAATCCAGGAGACACGTTGTAATCTTCTTGCCGAATCCACAAGGGATTGGTTGCCTTCGTGAATCAGAGCGGATAGAAAAGGAACTATACTTTCAAACAGAAAGTATAGCTCGAGATAAAATCTTTCGATAAATATTATTAAATATTGTATTGTACCATGGGATTAATTTTTTAAATAATGTGATCAAATAAAACTAGACTGTAAGAGAAAAAGATAGTGGGAGAAAACAAGGAGAAACAGGGAGACGAGTTTATACAGGATTTTATACAGGAATGAAACAAATGTTGCCAAATTTTGCATACTGGATATCTGCTGAAATTAGGACTTTGTGGAAATTCCTCGTCTAATTAATAAAACGATGAGTTTGCCCTAGTTACATCCGCGAGTCTTATAAATGTTCCTCGGAAACCATTTATTTTAAGGACAGGTTTATGTCAAAGTGGCAAATGTCACTCCTTTTTTTAAATAGATTTTCTCCACGAGAAGGTATATGGTAATAATAGATTTTGATGTAATCTTACACCATCTTATTAATTCATACGATTTTGTTCAAGCAATTGGATATTTTGTTTTCTTTCTTGAATAATTTGGAGACTTGAAAAAGGAACATTCTTTTTCAAAAACGACTCATTAAAATACATGCTACTTATTTTTAAGTATCGCACTATTCGAGTAAATCGTTTGAGAAGAAACATTCTTTCAAAATTCTCTGTGTTTACCTAGAATGATGAACACGGTTAAATGTCCTTAGAGAATTGACGTTCGTGGACCAAGTTCTCGCAAAGAAATGCCTTTTATTCACGGTAGCGCCAGGGATCCTTCTTACAATGTCGCTCGAGTGCTTCCATAATTGGGCGAATGCGAAAAAGGAGACATTGCCTCTTCGCATACCTTCCTTTCCTGCCCTCCCACCCTCACCCCACCCCCCCCTCTCTCTCTCTCTCTCTCTCAGCGTCTGTTCAAACAGAATTAATCTCTTGTCATTATTCATCGTTGTATCTTCTTTCTCACATCCAGTCTCGCAGGTTACAACGACATTCGAAACTTCGCTTCGCTTGAACGCAACTGAACTGGTTTTCTCGGGGAAAAAATTGAGCAAAAAATTAATAAGAATTAATTTAAAAAATTTAAAGAATGAATATACATCACGGGAGATAAGTAAAAAAGGTATGTCTTATGGATAAGTGGAATTTCATGATTTGCATGTTACACTCGTATCGGACATAGAGATTGAAATTAATCAATCAGGAGGAAGAAAAATCAATATCAAGTTTAGAGACCTTTATTTTGATTGGTCAAACTCAACCTCAAACTCAGGCTCTAGTTTGATATAAGCGCCCTATAATTTACTAACAGCTTTTCAGTAAATTTCGTGACGCGACACGTGTTTATGATACTTCGGTCGAAGATACAACGGCAGAATATCCCTTACACTGCTATTGTAAATCGCTCGAATTTCAATTTGGCTCATGCGTGGTCGTCCAGGTTTGACCTAGATTCGTGGATAGACGGATTACCGTGTAATCTGGGCAAACGTATTTACATGTTATCGAGTTCAATCGCTTAATCGGGTCTTGGAGTTGGGTCATGCCGAATGTGGGTATGCAGCTCGATGTTACATGTCATATCGGATAATTTTGTCCTGCGATGAAATCCGATATTGGGATAAATGTCAGTCTAGAGTAGAACGGCTTTCCGACATTAATTTTATACGTTTTAATTTTATTTAGATTGCTGTGCCCCTCCCCCCCACCCACCCTGCTGTTTCATTCTCCCTGTTCTTCCGTACATCTGCGATATGATACGATGCGATGATGAATTGACGTGTTACAATTTGTTTGGTAAAATGATACATAATAAATATTGGATCACTGAACAGGAACGTTTTAGTGAGAAAAGAATCAAATATTAACTAAAATAATATCAGCCATGTGTCATGATCAATTATATCACGGTAATAAGCAATGATAATATGTAAAAATTATATTGCCATCTTACTTTAAAAGTGACACAATTTTTAATAAAATGTGATTTTTTAGTTATTATGAACGAGTTAGATAGATATTATCCCATAAATCATAAGAAGAAATTAACTTTATATAAATTCGTCAAAACGTCATCTCAAAAGGAACAAAAAGAAAATAAGGAACAAATGAATATAAATTACAAAAAAAGAATTACAAAAAGATTTTAAATAATAAAATTTAATAACAAACAGTTAAAAGTGAAAAAATTCATAAATCACATCACAGGATACATTTCTTTGAAGATTGTGAAACGACAAAAACAGAAATGAGACATTGGATTTTGACAAAAATATATCTTTCTTGCCAATATTTGATTAATCAATAATTTTCTGTCAGGTTGAAGAATGTTCCCTTTTTCTTGGAAATTAATGTTTTAGTCGTGTCACTTGTGATTCTTGTGAAGTATAACGGAATATTGTTAATAATAAATAATAAAAAATGAATTATTCTTTTCCCCATAAAGATCCTTCTGCCGTAAAATAACGTTCTATGACGCGCGTCTTGACGAATTATTCGAAGAGCAGCTGAGAACTTTATTCTACAGAAAGATATATTATCGTTGAGTAAAATTCACGCTGATCCCCGTGATACGTTTCATGCCCATACGTGTTGGTAATCCGACGTTGAGGACAGGTTCTTGGCGATCTCTCCAGACGTTACGCCGCGGTGATTCGATATCGATGACACGCGTAT